AAAGGTAAACACTATCACTGAACGAACACACACACACACACACACACACACACACACACACACACACACACACCTCAAATAATATGATAAAAAGAATCACTTTGAAGACCTGTGTGGCATGGCCAGCCCAGGAGCATCTTCCAGCCACTGCTACCTCGGAGTCTATTAAAGGCTGTGGCCCAACAAAAGTGCACTCACACCCTGGCTGGCAGCAGAACCACGACCTGCCAGGTTGAGAGGATGCCATTTCAATGTCCAGCTACTGCCCCCACTGTCCAGCATCAGGAGCACCAATAACATAGGTGTGTTGGGGGAAATACTGCTGTGTAGCTCCACCACGCATGAAGGGGCCAGGAAAGCTCAAGCTGGGCTGGGACACCACTTCTGGAAGGGAACAACAGGCTTCCTAGTTTGCCATTGAGGTATTTCGGGGGGAAACACTGCTGTTGGCCCTGGGCCAAGAAGGGAACACAAATATATAGGCCCTTCAAAAAACACTGCCATACCCTGGGTCACTAAATAGTTACAACATAACAACTACTAAGAAAAGACTCACATAATGTAAAAAAGTAGCAGTCTGCCTCAGTCATCATGAAAAAACAAAATAACCCTTCTCCTAAAAAAATCAGATCAAATGAATACTCCAGTTAGAGAGAACCAGAAGAGATATGTTGATGTGGAGTTATTTGAACAGCTACAGAAAAAGATGCAAAACATGGAAGAAACAATGGAAGCCATTAAGAGAGGAAGAAAATGCAAAACACGAGAGAAAAGAATTGATAGTATAGATGGAGTACAAGAACTTAAAAAAAATCATCACAAGACAGAGAGGGTACAGCCAAAACAATACTGGAAATAACAGAAAAGCATGAAAATGCAATTCAGAATATTAAGAGAGAAATGCCAACACACTGCTGGGATGAAGAAAAAAAAAATAGAACTGATGATATGGAATAGAGAGTCAGTGAGTTGAAAGCTAAGAGCCTCACTGGAAAGATACAAGAAGAAAAATCAGAGATGAGATATAAAGAAAATGAACATTAGAGTCATATAAGGCAACACTGAAAGGAAATCACTGAGAAAATTGTACTAAAAGAAAACTTTCCAGGTATTTTAAAGAATGGGGAAATCCACATTCAAGAATCACAGCAAACATCAAACAGACTAGACCCAAAAAAGGAAAATCATCAAGACATATAATAGTCAAATTTTCCAAATTAAAATGTAAGGTTAGAATACTAAAAGGAGCACAAGAAAAGCAGAGTCACCTACAATGGGGAAACAATTAGAGAAGTTGTGAATTTTCAGCAGAAACCATACGAGCTAGAAGACAATGTGATGGCATGTACAGAAAGCTGAATGAAAACAACTGCCACCCAAGAAACCTATACCCAGTACAGCTCTCCATCAAACATGAAGGAGAAATTAGACCCTTTGCAGAAAAGGAACTTTAGAGATTTCTAAAAACAAGACCAAAACTACAAGAAATGTTACTTGAAGGCTTTCACATGGAGACACTGAAGGATCCAACCATTTGTTGGATCATAGTAATCGAAAACAATAGAAAAAGAAACACAGAAAAATGGCAACAGTAAAGCTGGGTTTGACAAAAATCACACTATAATGTGACTTGACTAAATGTACATATTAAATAAAAAAAATAGTGGGATGGATTAAAAAAAGCAAAGCCCATCAATATGTTGCCTATAAGAGACACATCTAAAAAAAGAAGAGAAAGACAGACTCAAAATTAAAGGCTGAAATAAATATATACCAAGTAAACGACAACCTCAAAAAAGTAGGACTGGCAATACTAATCTCTGATAAAAGAGACTCCAGAATGAAAATTATCATAAAAGATAAAGAAAGACGTTGTTGTTGTTGTTATGTGCCGTCGAGTCATTTTCGACTCATAGCGACCCTATGCACAACAGCCCTAAACCCTGCCCTATCCTGCGCCAACATCACTGCCTCTGACACACCCATCCTGATTACCACAGTCACCGAATCAATCCATCTCATAGAGGGTCTTCCCCTCCTGCACTGTCCCTCCACCCTCCCAAGCATGATGTCCCTCTCCAAGGA